CCCCCCCCCCCTAAAATTTCTGGCACCACCCCAGTAAAAAATATGAAAATCCGTCTATGGCTCTCGCTTCTAATAATATAGTTTTGTATTTCTTCTGTTTTCCTTTTCTCCTTCCTCTGAGACCTGGGTAGAATGTACATATTAGTATTTATGCATGGGTCAGTTTTAGTCCCACTTCCCAACCCCATGGAAAGGTGTGATTTGTCTTTGCCACTCTCTAAAAACACGCAAACTCCCCCATACCTGGGAATGACTTTTGAGTCCGAACTCAACAGCAGCCTCCTACCTGGAGCCATTCCTGATCATATAACAGATAGCTTTTAATATAGAGTAATAAACCATATATGCATGAAAGTCCACTTTCCTCAAAATTGCACATATAAAATAGAAATTTGGGTATGTAATCTTGATGATTTAATGATTTAATAAGATTCGGCGGGAGTTCGCCAAAGGTTCCCCCCAATTACAGCGATCCCTTGATATTTAGTAAACATAAAAATTATGTTCAAATAATTGATTAACGAAACAGTCTAGTAGAGCAACACAATTACAAAACGGCTAAACTGACAACTAACAACAGTTTAAAACACCATCAAGGGATCTAGCCCTTTTACATTTAACACAGACAGATTTCCAAGTCCGAGGACAATCTTGCACTATGTTAGAGAATTATTATTTATTAAGGTGATCAAGAGAGGGGAGCAACAATAAACTTAGGAACCTACGTACTACAGTAAATTGAGGCACAAAAGTAGCAGACAACTGACTGCTTGGGGAATCAGGGGTCCTCATAACATTTTCATATTTACAGACTGAAGATTAATCCACTGATGAGTAAAATTGTCTCAATGTGCAGATAGTCTGATTAATTACCCATTTAATTCCAGCACTCTCCCTTTGATGAGTAAAATTGTCTGGGGGTAGACAGAGTAAAATTACAATAAGTAGTGCATGTTGGGGTGCAATACAACTTAATGGATTAAACACAAAAGCAAATGTTTGGCTTCGAGTCCGACTTTGTTTTCTTACTTTGTTCTGATGGTAAGTGCTGCGTATTTGCTTGTAAGCTGCCTTGGCACTCTAGCCTTAGCACTCTAGCCTTTTAACAAAACAAACTTATTAACCATTTCTCAGCTCCACATCCGACCAGCGCCATGCATCGCACAGCAACGGCTTGCGATGATCCTAAGAGAGGAGAGGGAGATGAATGGTTTGTCCGTGACGAATATTGTCGAGTAATTCATGATTTGGAAAAAGATACTGCAAATATTCAACCTAACCACATTGTGTTTACTGTACTTATACCACACAAAGGCTTGGACATGTCAAGATGGCATCAGTTTCTTGTGGGAGTTATGTCATTTGAAGTCGATGTTTCAAATGTACAACGTAAGTACTGACTATACTGTATTACATTTTTTCAATGTTTTTTGCATGCATTGGATGTATACAAATAATGAATGTTTATGAGTGCAATGGTAAGAATATTTTCATGAGGTGAAAGATGGAATGTTCCATTCAACGAGGCGACAGCCGAGTTGAATGGAACATTCCATCTTTCACCGAGTGAAAATATTCTTACAATTGCACGAAGAAACATTCATTATTTGTTTTATATAATACCAAAAGTCCAGAACAGACTAATAGATTCGTATGAGAAGCATTTTGAGGGATGCGATTTATCGAAAACACAAAGAGTGCAATTGTACTATATACGTTTTATTCCATTGCACTCGCGGAGAGTGCAATGGAACGCGTTCCATTGCACTCTTGGGAAATGGAATTTTCTATTCAATATCACGTGACCATAAACAGCCAATTAAACGATTAGAATTTAATAAGGTATTATATAATACAGTATGTTTATACCTCTTTCCAAGAGGTTATGTTTTCACCTTATTTCGTTTGTGTGTGTGTAATGTGTGTGTTTGTTGCATTACTATTTATAGACATGACTTTTTTTTCGTGAAAGAAGGAATCAGTGCATTTTTCAGTGCGAAATGAATGAAATAACGAATCCATTTTTTCACTCTAAAGCTACGTTTACACGCTGCGATTAATCGTGTTACGATTCGTTTTCTGGCGTATGTCATTGAGTAAACACGCGTAAGCTGGCTACATTTGAAATTTCTTTTTAACGAAACGGCAATGAATTATATGGCGCCAGCACTCGTTTTAATACGCCAGAATACGAATCGTACACGACAAATCGTAACGTGTAAACGTAGCTTAAGTCATGACTTACATCAACCAATCACATTATACAAATAAGGTTATAAGGTTAAAAACCCACCGTAAAATATCACCGTAAAAATCATCTAAGTAAAACTGTAGAAGTGACCATCATTGGGTAAGAACAAATCGACTAAGCCTGGATAGGAAACGACTATAAGCTTGGCCTTGGGTGTGAAACGGTAAAAGTACGAACACTGTAGGCGTAGCGAGGTAACAATGCGAGCACTGTAGTTTACGTTACGTAAGCGAAGGGCCTTTACCTCAGACGATAACATCAAAGTTCTTTTTGTCTTTTTCAGGTAGCTAAATCTTTTACACTCGAAATTTAAATATTTACAGTTTTAGCCGAAAGCGCAATGGCTTATCTACAGTAGTGCTCAGGGCCGTCGAGGGGGGGGGGGGCAAATTGCCCCGGGCCCCCAGGTTCCACTAGAATTCTTTTGTTGGGCCCCAGTCATTTTTTTGGGTGAAATATTTCCGCGCAAAGGGCAAGAGGCAAGATATTTGTTTTTTGGGGGGCAAAGTATACCAAAATTTGGCATTAAAAATTGAGGTAAAGTCGCTGGAAAGCAATTACAACGTACTCGTCCGGAAAAAAATTTTCGATGGACTAAATATATCAATGGACCATTTGCATTATAGACTAAATTTTGATCTAGACAAAAATTTCATCACAGCTTGAAAGCGCATCACAAAATTAGTAATATTCCAAAGTTTCGTTGCGAAATGTTGTAAAATGCGGATAATATAGCCTTGCGAAATTTGCAATTTTCAGTCATTTTGTATTACAAACGGGAAATTGATGCCCCAACACCCGATTGGGCTGTCAATTTCGCGTGCGTAATACAAAATCAGGGCCCGCGGAGCGTATTAGAGAGTGGGGGGGCTAAAGGGTGCTAAAGGGTGAGGTTTAATTAATTTAGAAAGTTTCATTTAGATTTCTATTTTAATAATTTTGGCTGTCAAAAAAAGTGGGGGGGCTAAAGCCTCCCCAGCCCCCCCGTCTCCGCGGTCCCTGCAAAATGACTGAAAAACGGCAAACTTTGCATGGCTACATTATCCGCATTTTACAACATTTCGCAACGAAACTTTGGAATATTACTAATTTTGTGATGCTCTTTCAAGCTGTGATGAAATTTTTGTCTAGATCAAAATTTAGTCTATAATGCAAATGGTCCATTGATTAACGATGAATGGCCGCGTGTCGAAAACCAGATCGTAAAGGATACAAAAAAGTCATTAATAACCTGAACGAGTAAACACTACTTTTTCGAATTAGAAATTTAGACTGCGTTCCTTGAAATAACAACTTGCAAGCTTTGTGATATTTCTTTACACCCGTGGCGTTTTAAAATTACACGACCAGGCCGAAAATAGCTGTAGTTAACATGTCAGTTTTATGTCACATGGTTACGAAGTTCAAACTGTTTACAACTTTCAGTTTAGCTGTTCATTATCGATGTATATACTTTGCATGCTTTATATTTCAAGATATGTGTGTGACAATTATTCAAATTTAAGCACAACGAAATCATAATATTACCGCTATGGTCTAGGCTCTAGCGCTAGCGGGTTTAGTGATATACACATTATTTCGAGGTAAATTGTTCTTTTTCACACTTTGAAAGGTATTCACGCCACAGATTTCTGTTGTGATGGCTTTTTGTTTCTTTTAGTTTGTATATTTAGCTCATTTTTATTCAATATTCTTTTTTAGGTATTAAATACGATTTAAATTTACTCGATTTACTTTACGATTTTTTAGCATTTATTGTGACATAAAACTGACATTTGAGCAAAGATTATTTTGGAGACTTCGAGTAGGTCGCGTAATTTTGAAAACGGGTGTAATAACTCGAAAGATTTCTTTACAATCTATACGTTTCAGTACTTTGTCGCTCCAAAAAGACACTCTGCACACGTAAATATGTGGCCACACCCACAGGCCACATTATGTTAAAGCATGCATGTGACTCGTGTTATAACACATTCGTCAAACACGCGACATTTCATTACAGGGCCAGCCACTTTCAGCTACTCGTTTCTTAGCAGAAACATATAAGAAGTTGTAACACGTACAGTAAGTCTAGAAAATGTACAGCATCCTTCCTAGTGTTGTACTTGATTTTACCACAATAATAATTTAGCAGAATCGTTTCCTTTTACAACTACAGGATCCTATCCAGGATTCTCAGAAAAAAATATAAATTAAATTCCTCTAGGACGAAATCTGTCAATCAATCTATCTCAGATGTACATCACTAGTGCTCAGGCAACAGAAATATTCAGACACTAATCATCATGCCAACCACATTGACAATATTTCTTGTGTATTGGATACTTTAAAAAAATGATTTATCTGCTGTACATATCTGCAACACTTAACCGAAATATTAATGAAATTAAAATGAAAATAGTAAAGTTACTTTTTATTTACTGCATGTATATCTAAAAATATCTGCGACCTGCGCTGAAAAGTTCTTGAAAGCTTCATATCAATGGAACGTATTAAGAAATTCATTTAGATTTTAGATCGTGGACAGTAGGCTTTCTTTGGCTTGACAGAGAAGAAAGGACAACATTTTGTCGTTATGCCATTATAGTAATACCAGCCACAGCAGTGGTAGTGTGATTTTTTAGTGTAAATTTTACCACAGCAACAGATTTGTGTTTTGGGATTGTAAATCAGGTTACCACAGTCTAGAATTAAAAAATATTAAGTAAAATATTAAAAATGTTATGTAGCAAGAAAAAGTAGGACAGGAGCATTGTGTTAGTTACCAATAGACCTTTTGAATGAATTGGTGACGTGACCCATTTCCCTCCAAACGAGCAGTTGTGTCAAACTGAACCACGGAAATGAAAACCGCACCTCAATATTAGTATAGAATTGCAAAGGTTTCAGCCTTTAATATGCACTATGGACAAAATGGTAATTCAATTTTATTTTCAAAATGTTCTTTTTCCCAGAGCATTTTTACCAAACAACTCTCAAGAAAATTTTCAATATTAAATTGACTGCAGTTCTTCCATATTGGATATTAAAAGCTGAAACTTTGCAATACGCTCTTCCGGAAAGTACGTCACCTTGGTTCTTGAGCCTCGTTATCGTGTGTGTACCAATTAAAGCCACGCGTCGTAATCACGAGAACGAGGCTCTATAGCCAAGGTGACATACTTTCCGTAAGCGTGTATTTTACTGCTATTGAGGTGCGCTTTTCATTTCTGTAGTCATTTTAACACAGCTACTCGTTTTAATGAGAATGGACATGCGCCTATTTCGGGGTTTTAGATTCGCTACCGACACAATGTTAATCCTTATGCCCAACTTATATCTTTGCACAAAAGGCCTGTTTAAAGAAATGAAAGGATCTGGCTCTCAGTCTCAGTAGCTAAGATCTGATCTAGACTAGCCTGCGCAGCTGACGATTTTAAGGTGTTCCTAGCACGACGTTGTTTGAATCAACGTCATTTTGCTAGACTACGACATAGTCTGTGCGTGTAATGTAATTAGCGCCCTCATTTCCGCCCACGAGCGTCTGTGACGCAGGCTACATTTTGCCTGCTGAGTGAGACGCGGGCAGCGAAAATTAGGGTGGCGAACCCCAACCTTAAAACCGCCAGTACGCAGGCTACATTTAGACAGGTGCATGCATGTATGTGGTTTTGACATTCAAGATTTTTTATAAACCCCATTTAAGGTGAAAATATAAAGATATGTAAATTATTTTCTACTTACAAAAGTACGGACAATATGAGTATTCAAATCCACAGGCCCAGTGTCCACCAGCTTTGCAAACACTGAAGATAATAAATTTATATGATTAAATGTTATATGAGTTGCGCATGCGTATCAAGCTTATATCTCAGAAAACGTCTGAGCCCAAACTCGAGTCGAACCACGTAACCTGCTTGGATAACTGGACATACGCCCGGCTATAACCATTGAGTTACAAGGTCTCGGATGGCAGGACAAGGTTACATGTATATTGTATACTAGTTCGTGTGTTATATGTGCATGATTGTATATGGTTGTGCTAGCTTGTATAATGTTACATAATACGAGTTGCATATGCAAGGGTGTGCTAATCATCCTTACTTGTAGCTGAGAGCTAAGCTGAATTACGAAGGACGCAGCTCAACCTGATCGAGTTGAAGCTTTCTAAGCGTGCTTTTAGTAGACACCAGTGCTGAAAGGATCAGTTTGGAGCTAATTTTAAGTTTCAGAAGATTTAATTATACCCCCCATTTCATACAGTTACAGCGTACATCACTACCAGGTTTACGCCATACACCAATATCCAAATGACATACTGTAAATAGGTTAATATAGATTCTTGTTATCGCATTTCTACCTTTTTAGTTTTGTTCTAACTGCCTGAAGGGCGACATGACGCGATGTGTGATTTAAATTGGTGTGTATACCGAGGGATGTAGCTACTTGAATTTCAGAATCCCTACATGCTCATGGACTATGTGACTTTTTGAGAGATTTCCAGCTGATTTTAAAAGATATTTTTAGCTATATATTGTGATTTTAAGGAGATTTTTAGGATATTGAAAGAGAATGTGTGGATTTTGCAAGTGATTTCAGAATACGGCGGACGATTTTTATTTTGAGGAAAGTGCAGCTACACCCCTCATTTTTTATTGTATGTACAGAGAAGTAAATTATCTCGCCGAGGAAGCAGGAAAATATGTAAAAGAAGTTTATAGTTTTGACGGTTCTTTTAGGTGGGACGATAAAAAATTGCGCCGCGTCACCTTTAAGGCAGGAGTACATTATAATTATTGTTCCTGTTCACTGTGCTGTTGTCAGAGTCAAAAACTTTTCAGTTGGAATTGTATAGCTTTGAATAGCTTTCACACATTTTGAATGGCTTTCACATACTGGTGCAGCCAGGTTCTTATTTTTTTTCAACCGCAGGTTTCCTTAGAGTACCCAGGATTTCTCCTGCAATAACCCCCGAACATGCATGCAATACGTAATCGCCCTTATTGGAACTCTGGAATTTCTGCATGGTTTAATAAATAATTGTACGTCAACTTACATCCTTTATTTTTTAGTACGTCAGGATCATTTTGCACTAAGGCAGTTTCAGTTTTCATATCTTCCGTTGTTTGCTCCACGTCATTCGATGTTTCGTCTTGATACTCTTCATATTCATCTAGAAAAGTGAAATTTGATCGTTATTAGATCGAGGATGATTTAAACTAGCGTTAAAATAACCATGAAAAAGTAAAATTGAACAAGTTATTCAATTGAATGAAATTTCAATAGAAAGTTGTCGCCAACGGTTTTGAAAAACACCATGATTTACAACAGACGAATATTATTATAGAGCTGTATAGCTTATTAAGGCTTAGATTGTTTTGTTGCGCGGAAATTTAGTGTCTTTATTAAAAGTTTTCTTATATCATATCCCAGACATGTTACTGCATGTACACTCACGGAAACTGTTTCAACAACATACCAGCTTTAGCAATGGCAAGGCCAGTCATCAAAAGAAAGGCAAGAACGAATAAAAGTCGTGTATTCATATTGTTGGTTTCGTTACTGGATTTCTTGTGCATGGTGTTATCTAACACTGCTTTGCTTTATCATGATTTCGGCTCAAACATCGCTCCTTTTATATACACACGCGAATTAGTAATTAAGTCTTTGTCTTTGACTTTGAAAATCTTTTTAGTACAAATGAGTCAAATAAGTTCAAGTATTTTGAAGAGCAAGCACTTCATTTTCCAAGGTCCTTAGCTTGTCTTTGTTCTACTTCCATTATTTTCTTTCAGATTGTTCATGAAAGCAGTCATTTAGAAATATCCTGTATTTTGATATCTTTATATCCATGCAGTAATAATATGTAGGCACGAATTTGGGAAAATAGAAATCAGCAAATTTTGGTGAGAAAACTGACATTGTTTTCAGCATGGTGACAGTATATGAAAGTCGATCATGCAGGGTATATTTGTCATATAGTTCGATACTGAACTGCAGGCAAATCTCTCATTAAAGTATTCCTCCTCCAATTAACAGCTGTAGTTTACTCCAACTTTATAGCATGTTTTCCTCCCATAACACTATAGACTAATAAGGAATGGCTTGCACTCGAGCGAGAACAGGTTATAGATATAGCACTGATAAGTGATAGAGTTATGTATAAATAAATATATTTAAAAGTAACTTAATTAACTATATTTTTATATTCTCGAAAAAGGTACTTTGTTTTGTGTTTCCTACTATGCACCGATTTGAAACATAGTTGTAATAATTTTTTCCCGAAATTAATTTCAATCAAGGTATAACCACGGCCGCCTTATAGAAAAACGTCACGACTTTGAACAGTTTTACAAAGTATAAATATATAATATGATCATATATTCTCATTTAGAAATTAAATCTTAAAAATACCGAGGTTTATGCCAGAATTAGCAAAGCCTCGTTTTGGTGCTTTTTGCTTATTTGAAAGGGCTATAATCTGGCTTGCATGAATTGTTTTCAATCTTAAACTTGTACACTTTGCCTTAATATTATAAGCAGACTCTGTTTTGCAGACTCTATTAGCCTGGTAATCCGTAAAGAATAAAATAATGCAAACTAGTTTTCGAATCGGCCTATGGCTATGAAATGTTCATCGTCGGCGAAATAGAAAGTATATTTTCTCATTGTCAACGTTAATTCATCTGCATGGAAGAAATACATATAATATGATATAAATAAAAAGCAAAAACAAATAAGACGAACAACATATAATAAATTATGTTCAGTTCATTATACAAATAAGTGGATACCTTTTTAACCTATATATGGTGATAACATAGTTAGGCCTATCGTTTTACAATATCCAAGTGTTAAAAAGGTTAATTACCCCACCTTTGTGAAGTACTCATCATGCAATATACAATTAATAATATGATCTAATTAACTATATTTTGCATGCTTGCTTTTGTAAATTTTTGGAACTTGTGAAAAGCATGCTGTATACGCGGAGAAATTCATTTTAATATAAGGGATTATACATAAATATAGTATTTTAGTATAATGGATATGCCAATAACATAATAGTTTTTCTGAAAGGTTTTACACATATTATTTAAAAGTTCTTTAAAATAAGTTATAAGACAAGCTGATTTTATATTTACCGTATCTGTTTAAAATCTACATCGTAATTTTCATACTCTATATTTGGATTCTATCAGTTGTGACAATGCATGTATACAGTATATGTAATATGAGCATAAATTTATAATTTTGTCTTCATCATGCATGCTGAAATCTTAATATCTCTGAAATTCATTTATAGCATTCAGCATGAATTAGTAAAAAAGGAATCATATAAAGTATCTCAAACTTTTGTTGTTGTGCATGTCTTATCTTCGGGATTGTATTGACATCTTGACTATCACAATGTGATAATTGAGCTTAGTGTCGCTATTGCGTGCATTAATGCACTTCAGATCCTTCAACATGAGTGACTTTCATTGCTGGCAAAGTTCTTCCAGAATTTTTTTAGTGGCAATTTATCTAAGTTTTTTTCATATTTAAAGTACTACTTGATTCCCACTTGTTGTATCGCTCAAAGTTATCTTTTCGAAAAGGAACTAATCAATAAGGAGTATTATTCAAATTACGTATTCAAAGAGCGTGAGAAATCAGTACCAGTTTCTGACCGTGGGCGTTATGAATGGTTAATGGTTATAGATTCATGTTTCGCTGTTCGATTGCTAACCCTAACCACTGACTCTAACCCATGATTGAACAGCGAGATATGAATCTATATCCGATTAACGACAGGTTTTATGATGTATTTAAGTACAGTCATGCCTATTGGTTACTTTTGCTATATTTAAAGGACCATTCCGTGTGTTCTTGGATTTGGTTACCAATTATTTCGGCCAAAAATAGTGGAGGGTCGTGATGGGGAGGGATTCCAAAACTCATTCCGAATATTTTTTCCGAAACTCATTGTTCATACACCTATTGACAAATAATCATCCATTGAAGTAGAATATAATCCGAATTCGTGCGAATGAATTGCTTCATTGATTGATTGATTGAAATTTGAAGCATGACATGCAGTGCTATAGGTGAAAAAATGACTCATACATGCACGTGCTTGATTTTATATAATTCTGGCCTAAACTTACTTTCTAAAAAATACTCAGGGTTGTCGCATTTCCGGTTCTCTTCATCTTTTCGGTGACAACACATAAAGGAAGCACCTCTTTGAACGAGTGTGGTGTTTACATGCCACAAGCAGTTTAACTCAGTTGCCATGGATATATTGTTAAGTACCTAACCGCAATCTTCTACAACTTCGTGCAGATTTTTAAAGCATTCAAATTTTTTATCACCGTACAGAGCTTCTTTCTATTTTCGTTTTTAACAAATATTACATGCCCATGGATTCGTCCCCGTTCTCAGTTTTGATTGCAGCGTATTGGTCGCCATCAGCTGCTGCTCGCGTTATTTGATTGCAGTATTTATACTCTCTGTGTTACTGTAATAAATTATATATTTCACGACATTTTGGTATTATTAATGTTTGGAGATTGTTGACATATACTAGCTCATGCTTACAATATTTTGGGATATTGTTTAAATCTATGAACATTAACACTTTATTTAATTTATCAATTAATTATTCCAATTAATTATTAATCGGTGAATTAACCAATAATTTAGACTTTCAACAGAGATGAAACTTAATGGTATATGTTTCATATAACGTAGTGAGAACTACTTTTGTGTTACTCCAAACCCAACAGCGCAAACATTCGCAGACATATTTATTTTATCTGTCATATTGTTTCTGTTTTCTCAGGAGCAGAACATCCGATTGTGACACTGGACATGCGTCTTGGTGCGAGAGATAACTCTGACAAGTCATGGAAAGAAATAGCTAAGTCAAGAGAACAACGAGAACATAATTGCAAAAAGGTACTGGCGGGGAGAGATTGATTTGGTTGGGTTGGGGGGGGGGGG